GACAGCCACCTACGAGCCTTCTAGTCACTCCCCTTGGCAGCTCTGGGGATCCAGGGTCTGTTACCCTTGATAACAAGGCTCCTAACGTTGGGGTCTGAGGCAGGGTTTCGAGGACGGGATCTTCAAACACATCCTCAAGAGCACAAGAGTCTTCTAAGAAGGTGTAAACTTTGAATACGTGTTTTAATGAGTAGCCTAATTAACAGAGACCTTCTGGGTGGCCAATAAAGCACTGTGATGTGACACTCGTGACCATATCTGCATCCGTGACAACAATCACATGGCACACAGCAAGGGTGAAAGTTTCTCAGTGGCTCAGAGGGAAACACGGGCGGGAGAATTGAGTCATCTCAGCACACGGCCGTGGCATCGGTGGGTCAACCTTAAAGAACCATGAGGGTGTAGACACCTTGCAAGCGGGGGCCTTACATGAATCGAGTCTTTGTACACAGCCGCTTGCCACCGTTGACAAGCACCAAGTATGGGAATCAACACACAGTGAAGAAAGTCTCTCCACCACGTCAACGCTCACCTGACCTTCAAGTGAAAGAGCAGCCCTGCAGTTATCAAGCGACAGCCTCTAGAACCAGCACGCATGGGCGGCTCGCTGGCAGTCGTGGTTACACAGCAGGCTGGTTATCCCAAGCCAGCAAATTCTTGACATAGTTACATGCCGCTTGTACACGTATGTGTCACTAGACATTCTCAACATGAGCATTATCAAAATCAAAATTCAAAGTCTAAGTAAAGATTAGAACTCAAGATGAATGAAAACACTAACAAAAACAGATAAGTCTGGAGCAGATAACATGCCAGGTGTGGTTCTGTTTTACATATGCATGATAAGGAGCTATTGCTTTCCTCTACAGCAGCAGGAGGCCTCTAAGCACCCGTCATCCCTCCCTCCCCGTTTTCACACCCCTGTGTAGTCCCCCCAACAACTCCAGCACAGGCTAGACCTAGACTGACTTCTAGTGAACAGAACTCAGAAGTGGTGCCATGTCACTTCCAAGATTGGGTCATAAAAAGACTGTGGTTTCTGGGCTTTTACGGTGCTCTCTCAATCAGTCTTTCCTGGATCAGTCACCCTTGCGGAAGCCAGCTGCTGAGCCAGGAGGCAGCCTTGTGCAGAGGCCCGTATAGCCAGGGTCGAGGCCTGCAAACAACCCTGAGAGTGAGCCAGGAAGCAGGTCCTTCCCCTGCCTCCCCGAGAGCCTTCAGAGGAGACCACAGCCCCGGCCGACAGCTGGACTGCAACCTCACGAGAGACCTGGAGCCAGAGCACCGCAATGAGCCACACCCAGACTCCTGACCCACAGACACTGTGAGATAATAAACACTCTTTTTTTTTTTTTTTGAGGAAGATTAGCTAACATCTGCTGCCAATCCTCCTCTTTTTGCTTATAGTCATTGTTTTAAGCCATCACATTTTGGAGTAATTTGTTATACAGCAGGAGACAACGAACACAGCCATTCAACATCACTGACTGAGTTTTAATAAAACATCGCCAGTCATATCAAAATACAGTTGCTACATTTTTACTTGATGATTTTATTATAAACTTAGTTGGATGTTATTGAGTTATAGGAACACATCTATGTTTATTGCAAGTTTTGTGCATATATTTATTTGTCACACTTTGATACAAATGATTTAAGACAATACTGTGGGCTTTCAATAGATTTCTTCAAGATGTCATATATTGCTAAATTTTGAGAAGCACTAACAACTTGTGTGTGTGTGTATCTGTGTCTGTGTCTCTGTGTGTGTAGGTGTGTGCAAGCCTCCCAGTAAGGATTTATATGTGTGTGCAAGCCTGAGGTTAAAGATGTGTGTATTTGCACGTGTGTGTATATAGCCTCCGAATGGCCTCTTGTACATTCTCTTCCTGCAACACAAATGTGATCTCTTAAAAACACAAATCTGATTGTGTCTGTTGTTTACTGCGTTCCTAATGTTTGGCATCAAATAAATGAATGACTGTCATGCCCCAACTTAAAACCTTTCCGTGGCTCCCTGCTGCTCTGGGGATAAAGCCCGAATTCTTCACCACAGCCCACAAGGCTCCAAGCACTTCCCCTCTGCAGCCCCATCCTCCTCCCGGCAAGCCCTGCGCCTCACTCCCTCATGCCTAGAACTCTCCATCAACCTGTGCCCTTCACCCAGCACAGCCTCCTAATCCTTGCCTCTCCTGTGCATCTTAAACATCCCTCCTCGCTCCCAGCTGTTACACACCTGTCATTAAACAGTCAACTCTGACCTGTAGTCTGGGATCCATCTCTGGCCCCCAGGATGGGGTGCCACGAGGGCAGGGAGAGTGTGCATCTTTTTCTCCACCCCATTCCTGGTGTGCAGCATCGGCCTGACACACAGTGAGTGCTCCGTGACTCTCGGCTGAATGAATGGCGACCACTACCCGAGTCTGGAGGAAGCCAGCCTTCACCCCACAGAGCCCCAGGAAGATGAGCCAGTTCACCAACCAGGCAGGCAGGGCAGGGTGGAGCCGTGCGAGACTTGGTTAAGAGATGGGAGCCCTGAGGGTGAGAGTTAACTTCCCCAGAGTCGATACCCAGTCATCCGGGAAGCAGGAATTTCTGGTCCAGCGTTCTCCTTGCCCAACGTTCAGGTCAGCAGAGAGCAACTTTTTTCCAGTAACTAATTTAAGCGGGGCTTGCAAACACCTTTCTTTTCATTACACAGAAATGCAGCAAGAATGAGCGTCTCTGGAGCCATGAGGACTGTTCAGATTCAGCCTCCGACACTAACTCTGGCTCCTCCTGCTCCCGTCTCAACCACCTGTCCCCTGCCCAGGCACTCTGCTTCCTTACTCACCAGCACACTCGAGAATGCTGATCTTCAGTTAAACATCTGTCGCTTTCCTTGCGGGCTGTGAACTTTGTTTTATACACAGCTGCATCCTTACTGCCTGGCCCCACCTAGCCCCACCTGTGAGCTTCATATCTTGGAGCGAGGCGACACGCGAGTTCTCAATAATTATTACTATTAAAACTGGGGTGACTTGGCAAAGCAATAGGAGGTTCAGGGCTGCTCCGACGTCGCACAGAACAAGTGCTCCTAAAAGAGAGTCGCCACCATTGTGGAGATGACCACTGCAAGCAAAGTTTGAAAAAGAAGCAATCTTTCCTCAGAAAAAAGAGTTCAGATTGGAGGATGTATGTGTGACAGCAAAGGTGGTGTTGCTGAGCTGGCAGGAAACAGCTCGCCTCGCCCAGTGGCCTCCCGCCACACTCCGCGTTAACTTCGCTGTAAGTTCCTGGGTTTGCACAAGGCCACCTTCAGAGAGGGGACACTTCATTTCTCCACCGGCCTTTGCTGTGGCTGCCTGGTCACCAGTGCCTGGTCACTTCACACTGCCAAGTCATCACACCCCCCCCCCCAGGGTGGTCTGAGAAACCGGGGTCCATCACCAGGTGCATGAGCCCCCCAGCATACCTACAGGCAGGCTGAAGACCTGCCCCACGCGTGAAGGCCCCTCCGAAAAGCTTGAGGGGGATGAAGTCTGCTTTGGTGCTGAAATCAAATTCACCCCAGCATCTCGAGACATCATCTTACCTCATCCCCACACCTGCCATACCTGGATCCCTGGTGAACCCAGATGTCCTATAGAATCTGATTCTAACCAATTGCACATCAGGAGCGTTTGACAAATGCCCAGCTTGATGCAAAAATCAAAAGATGGAAGGAAAAAAACAGAAAAAGTGACGCAGAAAGGGCAACCATTGGCAAACTAACTTCAAACTCCTTTAACAGAACGCATTGCACAGCATATACGCTGCAAAACGGATCTTGGCAAAATAATCGAACTCTATACCTAATCCATATTGAACACACACCTCGCTTCAGAAAACGAGAGATGATCTGAGAACTGCTGGTTACAGGGCCCTGGGGTCGACCACTCCAGCTCCAGAATTCTCCTAACATCCATGAACAAAATACTCTTTTTTTAAATGCACAAATATTTAAGAAACATACAACCAAAATGTTCCGACTGTTGTCATTCTTGGGAGGAAAACTAAGCGTTTTAAATTACATCTTCCCAGCTGATGTTTTTCATTAGAAAGTAAATCTAACAGTGAAGTTTCCCGCCAGCAGTCAAAGGGCCATCGCAGATGTACTCCTGCACGTCCAGGGGACTATTTAGGCATTTCATTTTTGAATGACTGATGAAGCTTAAAAGAAAACAGTGGAAGGATCAGAGATGCTTCTGCAGGAGTTCAGTGCCTTCTGCTCTTGCATCACAGAGCGGGTTCTGCTTACAAAGCAAAGGAGAAAGTTTGGGTTACCTGTCACCCCTGGCTCACCCCTGGCTTCTCCAAGTGGAGGGCTTTTTGGGGACAGCTCTGTCATTTTGTCCGCTAGTAAAAACCCCCACACCCGGGAATCTGAGCTCCTAGAGCATCCCCTGGAGGTCACAAAGTCAACACACAAATCTAAGTGGTTTTTCAAAAGTGCGCTGGGGTCGCGGGCAGCAAGGCTGGGAGGCCTGGCCATTCTTACCTTGATTTCCACCATATTGCTACTATTATTCTTAAAACATTTGCGCAACAGTTTGTTTTTGTTTTTAACGTCGCTTTAATTCCGCCCCCCCAGCCCCAATCAAGTAACTTTGAAAAATCCATATAGCAGCCTGGGTGTGGAGACCCAAGACATTTACATTCTCTGGAGTTAGAGAAACCTAGATTAAGTTCCTAGCGAGGTCATTTGCTAGCTGTGTGCCCCTTAAAGGACAAATTTAACCTGTCTCGGCCTCAGTTTCCTATCCGCAAAATGGGCTGGCGCAGGAGGGGGAACCGGTAGCGCCCGGCCCGGGGCAGGAACGCGCGCAGGCGTTGCTATGAAGCCGGCTTCCTTCTAGAGCCGGGCGAGGGGGGCGAGGCGGCGGAGCGCAGCCCGCAGCGCGCGGATGGGGTCTCGGGGGGTGGACTGGGGTGGATGGGGGATCAGGTCGCACGCCCGGAGGCAGGTCGCCCAGACTCACCAAGGTGTCCAACTCGCCCCTCTCCAGCGGCTCGTACCGGTGGCCCGCGCCCGAGAAGGCGAGTTTCTGCAGGAACTTGGAGAAGCGTTTCTCCACCATGGTGAGCGGGCGGAGGCCCCTCTCCCAGCCGCCCGTGCCACCGCGGCCGCCCCTGCCTGCGTCCCTCGGTGCCTGGCGAGCCGGGGCTGGCTGCGCGCGCCCAAGCCTCCTGGGCCAGGCCCAGGTTACCAAGTAGCCGCCTACCTGCCCGCCGCAGGTGAGGCCCCGCCCCGGGGCGGGGCTGCGCATCCTGCTGCGCTCGGCGCACCTGTCCCCTCCCCGCCCTGCCGGCTCGCCCGGGACTCTCCCGCCCTGGGGGCAGCCGCGGCCCGGGAAGGCCTGGGGAGCTGCCGCGGGGAGGTTAGAGCGCGGGCTGTTTCCCAGACCTGCCAGATCACAGGAATCACCTGGAGGGATGGTGCAGTGGGGGAGAGAAAAAGCTTGTTTAAAGTGCAGATTGCCAGACTCCTATCTTGAGTCGCTGGGTCTGGAGGGGGCCAGGAAGCTGGGCTTTTACAAGCGTCCAGGTGATTCTCCTGGGGAGCCCAGTGTGGTCAGCCCTAAGGCGCTGGGAGCACGGAGAACCGGAGCTTGGTCAGACTCCTGCCGCTGCTGTGCGGCTCTGGGCGAGCCACGTGGCCTCTCTGAGCCTCGGTGCCTTCGTCTGTAATTGCAGGAGAAGAAGGCTAAGTCCTCACCTCCAGGGGGCGCCCTGGGAGTGAATCCCAGAAGCGGGAGGAGAGTTTGAGGACCCCGCTGCCTTTGGGTTCTGCGTGGTCTTGAATGAGCCCTGAGCACTTTATCCTCATCTGCAGAATGGGCTCCTTTGATGGCTAATCCGGGGACCTTGGTGGGGGGGTGGTTCTTAAATCTTCAGAGGCTTAGTTTACTGCTCTCTAAAAGGGCATTCATGAGGGCAGCTCCCTCGTGGTGGAATCGAGAGCATTCAGTGGACAGCGCTGCACAGGAAGGGGTGGGGCAGGGCGTTTGTCGGTGGTACCATCATCATCATCACCATCACAGGCAAGCAGCTGGGCTCAAGTGGCTCCCGAAGCCTGGGAGTGATGTGCAGTGTAGATTGTTCCAGCCCCAGGTGGATATACTGAGCAGTGTAAGGGCCATGGCTTCAGATGGGACTGGAATCCATAGCAAGACCCCCTGCGTAGTAGGGAGGTGGCTTTGGAGTAGGCTGTGCTATTCCTCTGTGCCTCAGTTTCCTCATCTGTAGAGTGGGGTCACTTAAGGACTGTAGGACATGGCATGTGTATTTGTCCATTAAATTATGCTGCCCCTTTTGAGCAAATATTTGCCCCTTAACTGCTCCCCAAGGGGTGGCCCCCCAGCCCCATTCAACCACAGGGGGGTCCTAGTGGCCTTCTTCTTTCTCCTGCCTCTTCCCCCTTTACTGAAACAAAAGAGGGCACCGACATCATGCTGCCCAGCTCCACCGATTTCAGCAGAGGCCCAGGAACAAGGGACAAAGCCAAGCTCTGGTGTGAGTCAGTCCAGATTTGAGTCCCAGGCCTGTTCCTTCCAGATGCATGACCTAAGGCGACTTCATCTTCCTCCACCTCAGTTTACTTATCCACAAAATGGCGATGGCACTACCCACCTATAGGAGTCAGGGTCCCAGCAGGAAACAGACGGCACCCTCAAACTGGGTGATTTGGGGAGAGTTTGAGAAACAGACTATTTACAAAGGTGTAGGTGGAATGCAGAGAAACCAGAAGACATTGCAGTTGCCCAAGATTAGCAGCAACGATAAATTGCCCCCCTCCAAGGTCTGGAAGGAGAGAGGAGAGAGCAGTCCCCTGGAGAAAGTAGCTGTGGGGACCTGAGCGCTTCCGCGGAGGGAAAGGGAACGGAAGCTGCGGATGCAGAGTCCTGGTCTGAGAGGCCAAAGGAGAAGGGAGGAGAGTGGAGAGATCTGGAGCGACCCCACAGTCCTGTTGTACAGATCTGAGCTCACGTTTGCGTAGCTAGAGCGCCTAGTAGTACCTGACATAGGATGTCCTCAGAAAGCTCTATTGTTAATACAAAAGAATACGTGGGAACGCAGCGCAGTTATTTCTCAGGTCCTTTCCAGCGGCGTTCTGTGATTTTCAGAGGGCACTGGATCCAGGTTGGAAGATGCCTTCTTGGCATAGAACTTCCATCGTTGTTTCTCCAGGTGGTGCAGCCTCCGTGAGCAAGGCAGTGATGTGCTGGTCGGACGCCTTGCCCTTCACAGCCCAGCCTCTTGGATCCCATCCTCGTGGCCTCTGCTCCAGCTCAAAGACGTCCAGGCCGGAGTTCGTGGATCAGGTTTAAGAACGCCTAGAGCAGTCAGGAAGGAAGCTCTGGGGAGTGGATATGGTGGAACACTGAGCCCTGTTGGGATGAACAAAAAATGGAGCGGACTACAGAGAAAGCAGTTGAAGAGATCAGCTATGAGACTGGAAGCAGCTGAATGGGTCCCCTGAGGCCTAAGTTGAATTTTTGTTTTCGTCGTATTGTGATCAGAAAATGTAGTCTGCACACATGGATACCCACCAATGGGCTCGCTCTGCTGGCCACGATTGGAGCCAATTAATCACAACGAGTTAGAGAAGGAGAAAGGACGTTTTAATTCTATTAGTTGGTATAATCTGGAAGACGGCAGAGTAACGTCTCAAAAAATATATATATCTTCAAGGATTACAGAATCTTGAGGCAGTTAGATAGGGAAAATGGGCCACGAGGAGGGCATTTCTTTCAGGCATGACGGACTCCAGGGTCTTTTACTGTTCCATTCTTCTGTCCGCTGTGATGGATGCCTTGTAGGTGTGTTTCCCGCCTGTGGTCAGCCTGTTCCCGGAGAGAAACTCATAGAACAAAGTTTTAATTTATCAAGCTATCCAGGAGTACATACATAAGCCAGAGGCCATAAATTAGGAGAGCAGGGGAGTTTTTTAGAGTACGTGCAGAGCAGCGAGTAGTCACACAGAGGAGGGGCTGGGGCCATTTAGCGAAACAAGATGGCCTCACTTTTGCTCACTTACAACATGTGTACTAAATTTTCCTAGTTGATTGAGACTGTGCCTGGTTTGTATGCAATTTTTGTAAATATTTCAACGGCTCTAGAAAAGTTGGTGTAGTCGTCTTTGTAAGGGTGTCGGTAAGCTGTACTCTCCTTTGTAAATTAGTTCTGTATCTATTCATTCTAACTTTCTAGTTACATTGTTACATCCTTATTTTTGACTGTTTGATCTGACACAGGAAGACAAAGAAGAGTTTAAAATTTCCCAGTCTCATTGCTTACCTGTCCGTTTCTTCCTTGTATGTCTGAATTTTTGCTTTTTGTATTATGCTTCTCTGTTGGTTAGTGCATATGACTTACCTGTTTATTGTAACTCTTGTAATTGTTTAATGCCATCTGTGTATCATTAAAGCATACTCCTTAAATTCCACTTTCTAGAGTTAATATTGCCACTGTTTCTTCCCCATGGCTCAAGTCTGTGTGATCTATACTTACCTTATTTTTTGATATTGATATTTGTTGATATCTTATTTTTATCTGTCTTGTTTTGTTTTCCACCAGACTGTAATCTCTGCAAGAGAAGGGACCTCTTTCATCCTCATCACTGTGTGTCTGCTCAGGGTGTGTCATGGTAGATATAGTTCCTGAAACATGGGAAATGCCCAAAAAATATTTATTGAATCTATCTCTGTCGTAAGCAGCAGATCATTGAAATCTGTTTTTAAGCTAATTTGAGATTATTCATGTTCTATTAAGGACATACATTGTGTCTACGTTGTTATAACTGTTACCATTAGACTACCTAGGTAGTCTGTCATCCTCATTCATGTTTTATCTCCATGCTTTTTGAGCAAGCACTCTGCTATGTCCTGTCATCTTTTACTTTGATTTCAGAGTAAGCAACTCATTGAAAGTGCTATCAGGAACTTTCTGAAAGCATTTCAGAAATAGACACAAATATTTATACCATCTCTTTCGATTCCCTTTTACAAATATAAAGGAATTTTGTGAATTTCCTTTTCTTTTCCATTCTTCGCTTCTTTTCCTAGTCTTAGTAATTTAATCTAATTATCTGAACTCTTATTTTTGAGTCTTTTTTATCATGTATTCTCCACTTTGCTCCAGAATTACACCTGCTATTTATCTTTGTTTTCAGCGTCCTTTCTTAGCTCAGCCACTTCGTTTGGATCTCATGGTCCTCACTACTGACCTCAGGAGTTTTTTCTGCCTTCAGCCTGCTGAATTCTCGAGTCCACTCTCAAGGAATCAAGTCAGACAAGACAGTTTGCTGGGAACTCTCTCAGGTTGGTGGCTCTGAGGGAGATCCTCAGGCTCCGGCCAGCGCTGAGAGTCAGGGCGGGACTCGGCCGAAAGCATGCAGGCTTTCTCGAAATGTCTGTTCTGGGCACCTTGAACAATGAAGTCACACTCTTCAACTCCCATTCACTCTCTACAGGAAAGTGGTGTCATTCCACTGCCCATAAATTATTTCCCAACAATACACTCTGTTGGGAAGCCTTGATGTGATCCCAAAGCACCTGAAATTCACTTGGTAATGAACCTCACTCACAAATTATAAGGTTGGCACTTGAAGGCATCCTTTTCAGGGGGGTATAGTACACAAAGGGTATAATTTGTATATATATATATATTTTAATTTTAGGGCTTGGTCTGAAGTTATGGCTCTTTACATAAACCCTCAGTTCTGTTTGTTTTTAATGGCCGTGCACACAGGCAATAACATAATCATTCCCTACCAGAAGAAATTGGAGTTGAGGGAGGCAAAGCCACTTGCATTCATTCAGCAAATATTTTTAAGCACCTACTGTGTGGCATTGGAGACAGACCCCTGCACACGACAGACTCCATCCCTGGTCTCTTGTCTCTTGTCTCCTAGTGGGCGCCACAGGCTGCAAACGGATCAACGAGTAATGCAGTGTCAGACAGCGGATGCAGTGGGTTGAGTAATGGCCCCCCAAAAACGTGTCCACGCCCTAACACCCGGAATCTGTGAGTGTAACCTCATTTGGAAAAAGAATCTTTGAAGACATCATTAAGGTAAGGGTCTCAAGATGAGATCGTCCTGGATTAACTTTAGAGTGGGCCCTAAATCCGATGACTGCTGTCCTTATAAGAGACGAAAGCAGGGAGACACAGACACAGGGAGAAGGCCGAGTGAAGATGGAGGCAGAGGCTAGAGGGATGCGGCCACAAGCTGAGGAACACCTGGCGCCACCAGAAGCTGGAAGAGCTCAGGAAGGATTCTGCCCCAGCGCCTTCAGAGTGTGGCCTGCTGACACTGATTTTGGACTTGTGGTCTCCAGACTGTGAGAGAATAGATTTGTGTTGTTTCAAGCCCCCCGTTTGCAGTCGTTTGTTATGGCAGCCCCGGGAAATGAGAGCAGTGAGCAAGGCTAGGAAGTACGAAGGATGGGGGCTGGAGACGGAGTGGCCCTCATAGTGAGAGCAGTCAGGAGAGGTGACATGTGACCAGAGACCTGAGTAAGGTGAGAAGTGACCACTGTGGATATCTGGGGGACAGCATCCCATGCAGAGAGAAGGGAAAGAGGCGAGGTCCCGGGCAAAAATGTGCTTAGCTTGTGTCGCCATAGTGAGACCCACTTATGTGAAACAATTCACACATTTGCACCAAAACCATGGTGACATACACACACCCCAACCCCCCACACCCCCTACAGAGCCTGTTTCCAGGCACTGTCCGTGTCATACATTGTCACTTCTGCCATAGTCACTGTTCACCAAACAACGGGGAAACATCAGCTGAGCACTTCCTGCAGCTGTGGGTGTCGTGGGCCTCCGCGGAGCTCAGTTCCACTGGAGAGACCAGGCGCAGCCCTGTGGAACACGACACCAGGTGCCAAATGACTGCGCCTTGGGAATTGCTAAATGGCAAGAGGTAAATACACAGCTCAGATGCCGCAGCCCCCTCCTCCTCCACCCATGGCAGACGTCATCGTTCACTCATGGGGTGACATGTCCCCGTTGGCTGGGGCAGGCCTAGGAATTCTTCTTCTTGTCACACTTTAAGTAGCCACCAACAATTGTTTGGAGCTGGCACATGATTTAAACCTATTTACCAAAAGATTTTCAGAAAAGGAAGGAATGACCTTGGTTGGGGGTTGGGGGGGGGGGGGAGCAGGAGTTATAGAGCCTTCTAGAAGCTGCAGGTATGGCTGAAGGAGAAGATCTCCATATGTAAAGTCCATAATTGACATGAGGGTTCCCTCTCGGTGTTGTATATTCTGTGGGTTTTCACAAATGCGTGATGGTATATCTCTCCCATTACAGTATCATCCAGGATGGTTTCACTGCCCGAAAACTCCCCTGTGCTCCACCCCCCTCACCCCAGACCCCTGGCAACCACTGATCCTTTTACTGTCTCTAGAGATTTGCCTTTTCCAGAATGTCATATAGTTGGACATTTGACTCCTTTCAAAATCTACCCTCATTTTAATAAATTCAAAAGCATCCAGGGCCAGCCTCAGTGGTCTAGAGGTTAAGTTTGGCACACTCTGCTTCAGTGGGTTGGGTTTGGTTTCTGGGTGCAGACCTACACCACTCATCTATGGGTGGCTATGCTGTGGTGGTGGCTCACATACAAAAAGAGGAAGATTGGCAACAGATGTTAGATCAGGGAAAATCTTCCTCAGCAAAAAAAAAAAAAAAAAAAAAAAAGCATCCAGACCTGTTCCCAGAGTCAAGAGAATTCTCATCCAGAGCAGAGAAGCCCAAGGCCTTCCATATTCAAACCCTCCAGTTCATGCTCCCCACGGTCACTCAGAGGTGACCAACTGTCCTGGTTTGGCTGGAATGGGCCCAGTTTTAGCAGAAAGTCCTGGCATCCTGGAAAAGCCCTCAGTCCCAGCATGGCTAGTCCCCCTTCCTCCCCGGCACTGTTGGGAGCTGCATACTGCACATGTCAGCCCCGGCTGCTCCCTTCTCTTCGGTTAAAGTCCAGACTCCTACATGCCACAGCAGCCACACCAAGACCTGCCCCGGCCTCTCTCCCCACCTCCCCGCTCTGGCCATGCCAAACCCCTTTCCTTCTCAAAGGGCCCTGGTGTGCACTCCCCCCGCCCACCCCACCCTGTGCCTGAGCTGTCCCATCTGCCTGGAACATGCCCCAGAGGCCCCCTCACCCTGACTCTCATCCCTCCAGCTCCTACTCATCCTTCAGGTTTTATCTGAATTGTTGCTTCTCCCGAGAGGCCCCTCCTGATCCCTGGACCAAAGGGACTGTCTGCAGGGGCTCTCCCACTGTCCCCATGCTTTCCAGAGAGTCGCGGCACTTTATTCCATTGACGAGTTAGAAAGAGGACTGTTGAGTGCAAACCCCCCACATGTCCTGCAGCAGGGGCTCGATAAACAGAATGGGGCCTATCCGTGCACTGGAATAGTACTCAGCCAGAAAAAGGAGGGAAGGACCAAGACACACTACGGCGTGGATGACCCTCGGAAATGCTGCGCTGAGTGAGAGCAGCCAGACCCAAAAGCCATGTATTGTATGAGTCCATTGGTAGGAATGGCCCAGAGCGGGCAGACCCAGAGAGGCAGCAGGCGGGTGTGTGTGTGTGTCGGGGGGTGGGGTGCGGGGGGCTGGGAAGAGGGGCAGTTTGAAGATGCAAGTTCCTGGGGTGATGGCAATGTTCTGAAATCAGGTAGAGAGCGTGGCTGTAGGACCTCAAGAATGTGCTAAAACCCACTGAATTACACACGTTAAAATGGTTAAAATGGTGAATTTTATGTTACATGAATTTTATCTTAATAAAATTACCTTTTAAAAGGAGGCACTGAATATGCACTTGTGGAAAGGAGGAGAATGAGCCTGTGTGTAGTTAAACTGGGAAGTCTGATGGGAAATTGAATGTACGATTTCTGTTGGCTTTTTGATACAATAAAAAGTGCAAAGTTCTCAGCTCCTCCCTTTGAAAGTCTGTGGGGCCCTTGGGTGCCCAGGGCGGCTGTGAGTGAAGGGCGGGGTTCGTTCTCAGCAAAGTCGCTGTTGGTTAGAATTGGGGGGACCTGCGTTCCCCCTGGTTTGGTGCAGCCCGTCCCAGACTCAGTTCCCCAGGGTGGAGAAATTCAGAAGGGGCTTGGAATCCCTCCAGGCAAGGAGACAGGGGGGTCTCCCATCCCGCTGCCCCTGCAGTCAGGCCTCTGTGCACCATCGGAGGGGCCCCGCACAGATGCGCCTCAGAGCAGACCCCGCCCTGCTCAGAGCCCTCCTGGCTCCCCAGGGCGACGTTGTGCACACTCACCTGTGAGCGAAGGCCACTTACTTCGAACCCCCCTGGGTGTTTGCTGAAGGATTTGATTTTGGCACCCTGGGCCAGAAATGCCAGCGTTAATGCCCACCCCCCATGCATTCTGCAGTGACTGACCAGACCTGATGGAGAAATCCCCCGGCTTTCCTCACCCCTGCAGGGGACAGCCCTGAGGTGTAGTCTACACTGTTGCCCAGGGCCCTCCCAGAGGATCAGGATCCAGTTGCTCACGGGGGTGGCTATTGGGAAAACCCCATCTGGGCTCCTTCCCTGTCTCGCTTTCCCGCTCCCCTCCTTCTGCTTCCTGGATCTCCTCGAGGAACCCTGGGACCTCACCCCAGGATCTGCAATAAAATCAGACTCTTGACACTGGCCCAGGAGGCCCCATCTGTCAACCCCACTCCTCCTGCCCAGCACCCCCACGCCCTCCAGCCTCCTGGCTGTTTGTCAAACCAGCTGAGCTCAGTCCAGCCTCCTGGCCTTTGAACTTCACAGGTCCCTCCGCCAGGCCAGGGTGTTCACCCCGGAGCCACTCACAGGGCCCAGCTCGCCCTCCCTTCCGGCCTAGGCTTAGTGTCCTCTGGCAGGACACCTGCCCTGAGCGCCCCCATCACAGCATCCGAGCGCCCCCATCACAGCACCCTCACGCTGCCCTGCAGGGCGTTCATTTAGTAACAGTCCACTGAGTGAAACTGGCACTTTGTGAACTTTCCCGTAGGTAATCTTTGCTTCAATAAAAAATTCTGTTAAATATTTCCTTTAAAAAGCAGATGAAAGTTTAATGAGAAACAAGATATTTTCACATTCTTAAAGTATGTCCCCACAAGATACTAATTAATTACAAAGGGAAAATAGTCACTTTACAGTGGAGAAAGCTGGCAGACCCCGTCTTAACCAGGGGATCAGCGTTACGAGACCAGTGATGGGACAAAGGACATTGTGTGGCCCTGGATACGATGCACCGAGGAGAACAACAGCCTCACTTCCGGGGTGCTCCTGCTGAAATGCTGAGCCTGAATCCCTTGTAAGGAAACACTACACCCACATGAGGGGCATCCTAGGAAATAAGCTGCTTGTACGCTTCAAAAATGTCACTGTCAGGGGGCTGGCCCCATGGCTGAGTGGTTAAGTTCGCTCACTCTCCTTCGGCCGCCCAGGGTTTTGCCAGTCTGGATCCTGGGCACGGACACGGCACCGCTCATCAGGCCACGCTGAGGCGGCGTCCCACATGCCACAACCAGAAGGACCCACAACTAAAATATACAACTAGGTACTGGGGGGCTCTGGGGAGAAGAAGAAGAAAAAAGATGTCAACGTGAGGAACAATAAGGAAAAGAATGTTCCAGATTAAAGGAGATTAGAGAGTCATAACAATCAAATGCAGCTGGTGATCCTGGACCAGATCCTGGACCTGGAGAAACGTCTTTATCTCTGCTATAAAGGACATCAGTGGAACAGTTGGCGGATTCCAATACATCTGTCTGTAGATAATAGTAATATATTGACTGGACTTTCCTGATTTTGATCACTGCGCTCTTGTTTGGTAAAAGAATGTCCCTTTTTGGAAGTGTACCCTGAAGTTTTTAGGGGTAAAGATGGGGGAGGAGAGAGAAAGAGGGTTATGCACACAGACGTGGAGAATCTGGTGAGGAGCGTATGCAAATCTGAAAAGATCACATATTGTGTGATTCCACTTATATAACATTGTCGACATGACACAATCAGAGAGCTGGAGGACAGGCAGTGGCTGGCAGGGGTGAGGGGCGGTGTGGGGCAGAGGGTGGGTGTGGCTATGAAGGTAGTGAGGGGATCTAGGCGGGCATGGACCGGTTCTGGATCTTGGTGGAGCTGGTGCTTATATGAATCTACACATGCGATCAAATGACACAGAAACCACACCCCCACACTGCAGCGTGTGACTTCCCCGGCTTTGACGTGGCCCTATAGTTGGGCAAGACGTGACCACCGGGGGATGTGGCCCTGTCGTTAGGTGAGATGTGACCACCGGGGGATGTGGCCGTGTAGTTATATGAGACGTGACCACTGGTGAACCTGCGTGAAGCGTACACAGGGCCTCTCTGTACAATCTTTGCAGCTTCCTATGAATCTGTAATTATTTCAAAAGTTAAAAAAGTAAAAGAAATAGCACCCCACCTCTGTCACCCTACATCCCCCATCCTGATTTATTTTTCTCTGTAGCTTGTATTGGCTGACTTCATGGCTTTGTGAATGTTTACCAGCAGAGTCCCCCGTGGGCCGTCAGCTCCATAAGGGCAAACAGGGAATTTGTATCTTTCCTGCTTTATTCCTTTTTTTTTTAATTTAAAGATTGGCATCTGAGCTAACATCTGTTGCCAATCTTTTTTTCCTTCTTCTTCTCCCCAAAGCCCGCCCCCCGCCCCGGTACATGGTTGTATATTCTAGCTGTGAGTGCCTCTGGTTGTGCTATGTGGGACGCCACCTCAGCATGGCTTGATGAGCGGTGCCATGTCCACACCCAGGATCCAAACCGGCAAAATCCTGGGCCGCCGAAGCGGAGTGCAGGAACTTAACCACTCGGCCACAGGGCCGGCCCCTTTCTTGCTTTATTCCTCACACCTAGAAGAGCGCCTGGCACATAGTACGTGCTTAAAACTTTGCTGAATTGATAAATGAATAGGAGAGCTGTAGCCAGAGGCAACCGAGCGTGTTGGCCACAGTGAAACCAAAGGGAGGCACAACCTGGAGACAGTGGCCCTGAAGCACCAACGGGCCCTGTGGGAAGACAGGGCTCTGGGGGAGGGGGGAGCCGAGGCTGCAACTGCTTCCTCCTTGCTTGGGGTCCCGCTGCCTTCGTACCAGCCAGCCTGGACACAAAAAGACTCTGATAACCAGTCTGGGTGGTGAAGGGGCGGCCACAGGAAACCTGGTTTAACCAGTAGGAAAGCCGGTTCATTCATCCCACATGTTTACTGAGAGCCAGTGGAGACGAGAGGTGGCTGGCGGTGGCATGTCACACCAGCGAACCGTGCTGCCGGCTTGGCGCCAGGCTCTGTGCTTGGGTTCTGGCCTGCACTTAATTCTCATGACACACACCCTACTTGCTGTCAGCGCCCCACTGCACAGAAGAGGGAGCTGCAGTGGATGATGTGGCTCTCCACCCAGATCCCCGGGTCTCCCTGTTCCCCATTTGGGGCTCCCCCATCTAACAACCCACACCTGGGGATCTCGAGAGGCCAGACCTGGCAGCACGAGACCTAAGTGCCTGGGAATGTCTTTACCCCCCAGGGCTTCCCTTGACCAGGCCAGGCTGAGCCCCAGGCAGAAAGCTTACCTCCTTGGCCCCGGGAGGGACAACTCAGGTCTGGCTCATCCTCCAGAGCTCCCTGTGGGCCAGGCTGAGCCTGGGGCCTGGCCTGAAGCCACACCCTTGCCTCTCCTGTTCTCTCCATTCTCTTACCAGCTTCTGCTGGAAGGATGTCCTTAACCAACCACTTGCCCTTGTCTCAGGCTCTGCTTCTGGGGACCCTGACCTGGGACAGAATCAGAAGCACAGAGTGGTTGAGCAACTTGACCACAGTCACACAGCTAAAAGAAGATGGAAAGCTGGAAGTTCTGTCCCCGGAGTCTGAGGCCAGAACCTGCACGTCTAACCATCATGCTGCACAGCCTCCGTGTGGGGACTCATTCACTCATGCACGGACTTGTTTGGACCATCCCCCACTGCCAGGCTCAGAGCTCATGAGGGCAAAGAGGAAGCTCAGGCCCCTCCTCCGCAGCTCTTAGCCTATTTAGGAAGGCAGACTCAACCTCATCCATGTGATCATTCACCAATTGGATAATCTTGTGTTGAGGACCTACTATGTGTCTGCATCGGATGCACGAAGCTGCTGCATCTAGAAGCTGGGGGAAAGATGAGTAAGAAGTGGTCCCTGCCCTCCAGGAGCTCTGGATCTGGTGGGGAAGGAGCAAACCACACGGCGTGTGTCACAATTTCCCCACAGGCAGGACCCAGTCGGGGCACAGATCAGTCCACAGGAGGTTCAGGGCAGACTCCCAGGGAGGTGATGCAGAGGTGGGTCTAAAGAATGTGGAGGAGTCTGGCCGGGGCAGAAGGGGTGGAGACGCCTGGTCTGGGAGACGGCAGTTGCACAACAGCCGAGGCTCCCGGTCGGGCTGGAAGGAGGACACGTAATCAGAGTGAGTATGCTCTTGGCCCAGCTTGGGAGGAAACGCCCGTGGAGGCGGCCCTTGCAGCACACCTGCCTGTGGGAAGCGTTTCAGTGTGGGGTGAGCACCCAGGCCCCAGGTTGATGGCTTCTCTGCTTCTCTGGGACCTTGGGCCACATGTATCCGACCCTCTCAGCCTCAGCCTCTCTCATCTCCAAAGGGGAACAATTACACACGCCTTGCAGGAGGTCATGAGGGTCCCATGAGAATGACCTGGCCTTGAGTAAGCCCTGCCAGGTAGGCTGGGGCAGGTTAGGCAGAGGTTAGCGGGCCCCTGTCACACCATGGTAGGTTTGCAGATGCTCCTGGCAGAGGATGGGCACCCTTTTCAAAGCCTCACAGAGCCGCTGGGTGGACCAGCAGCAGTGCTGTCTTCGGGAGCTCCCACTGCGGACACTTGCCTTGGGGAGGGCATCTTTGGTACCCGGGCTCGAGCCCCACATCTGAGAGCGGTTCATTGGAGCCCGGAGCTTCACCTCTTTCCTGGGGCTTTGGGCCGAGTCAGACAGCAAAGAGAACATGGTGGGAAGGACTCACACAGACAGAAGGATTAGCACAGACTCTTGGACATCAGCCCGCTCTGGGCCAGTTCTCCCTCGACCACTGACCTCCAGGAGTCCTCGACAAGCTGCCCCACTTTCTGAGCCTCCTTTCTGACAAGTTAGAGCAGAATAATGAACAAGAAGGATAACTCCCCCCACCCCCCGTCCCGGGGCTGTGAAGGACTGGCCGAAACGAGCTTGAATGAGCTGGGGAGAAAGCGCCAAGTGTCATGGCTGCTCATGACTTTGAACCCAATGCCCAACTACACCCCTTCACCTAGGAACACCCCATCTTCCCCAAGTTACTGTATTCGCCTCTATATTTTGTTAAAGTTTTAAATGTTTCATGTATTCATTTTAATGAAAAAGCAACTATATGTATTCTTCAGGGCCTGGCCAACATCATGGGATATAACACACACACAAAAAAAGGAAAGCATGTCTCTCTTGATCGCTGTACCCTTCCTTCTCAGTGTGGAACTTTTTGTCTTGGCTGTCAGGAAGCTCAGGCTGTATCGAGCAGTCAGTTAATGCTAAGGGTCACCTGGCTGTATCGGTTAGCAGCCGCAGAAACTGACTCTGGTTATTTTAAGCAAAAGGAGGATTTAGTGATAACAGGTTTGCCAGGACTGCACAAGGGGAGGGAGAGAGAGGATATGTCCTTCTCAACTTCCCTAGTGGGACGCTGCTCCTGGCCACCCACCTATCCATCCAGCCAAGAGTTACTCAGTGTCTATACACACCAGAGATGGAGTGAGGAGCTCGGAGGGACGGCGGTGGTGGCAGAAGCTGATCCGTAAGCGGCCACAGGTGTTCCCCACAACTGGGCGATTCAGACGAACCATCTCCTCCACCTCAGGACGTTTTTCCTTAGCGTCTTGCTTTGGGTTTCGTCAGAAGCAAACCCTGAGACCAAGATTTGAATGCGAGGTTCATTTGGGAGGTGACCCCAGGAAACAGTGGCCGAGGGAGTGGGGAAGTGAAGCAGAGAAGGGAAGAAACAGATGAAGGGGGTATCGTGGAGCCGGTGACCACGATGGGGCCTGCAGACGGTGCAGAACACACTTCTCCCCACCAAGGAGTGGGGCAGCCAGAGTCGGGGAGCCCGCCACGTGCGCCACAGCGAGGTTTATGTGTATACATGCGAAGCACTCAGCCCACATGCCACTTGTTGGTAAGTCTACTCTGCCCTGCTCCTTTGCATGATATAAATTATTAGTTGCGCAGACCTGTCTTCTTTCCTCTCCATGCCGTTTCCTGAGCTGCTGGTGAAAAAAACCTCAGAAAAATCAGAAGGAGAAAATGTTCCATCTTCTACAGCTGCAGCAAAGGAGGTCCTATTCCACACCTAAAACCGTCCTTGCAACTGTTATTATTTTTATCTTGTTAAACGCAAAATGAAACAGTCTCAGAGAATGACACAAAACAAAGGCGCAACTTAATGAATCATTATCCGGTGAACTCCTGGAAACCACCAGCCAGGACAGAGCAGAACTTGGCCACCCTCCTGGGAGCTCAGCCATGTGCCCTCCTCCAATACCCACCGCCTCCCTCCCCAAGGGGGGCACCCATTCTCCTGACTGTTATGTTCATCACTTCCGTCCAGGCCACTCCAGTTTGGTCTTGCCCATTGTGATAATTTGATATGTCCTTTAAATTTCTGTAACCCTCGGGTTTCCCACCTGCGTTCGTTCCCTGTGGCTGCTGTAACGGATGATCACAGACTTCATGGCCTAAAACAACACGAATTGATTCTCTTACGGTCCTGGAGGTCAGATGTCTGGAACAGTCCGAATGGACTAAAAGCAAGGTGTTGGCAGAGCTGCATTCCTTCTGGACGCTCCCGGGGAGAAGGCATTCTCTTATCTTTTCCAGCTTCTAGAAGCCACCTGCATTCCTTGGCTCCTGGCCCGCTCATCCATCTTCAAAACCAGAAATGGCTGGCTGAGTCTTCCTCGCGCTGCTTCACCTCGCTGCCCCATCTCCTGCCTCCCTTTTATGAGGATCCTCGTGATGACCTTGGGCCCACCTGGATCGTCTCCCCATCTCAAGACCCTTAACTCAAGTCACCTTTGTGAAATCCCTTTTGCCATGCCAGGTCACCCAGTCACAGGCTCTGGGGATCAGGATGCGGACTCCTTCAGGGATCTCTTATTCTGCCGACCCCTCCATCTATTTCCCCCCTCACAGTCCATCTGGTGAGGAACCAGGCCGTTCGGCCCACAGCGCGGCCCCCAGTCTGGATTTCCGATGGCACGTTCCCAGTGCAGTTCTGCACGCTCCTCTCTCCTCAGGATTTCCTGCAAAGCAGCAGTGGCGTCGAGAGGCTGGCTCAGACTCCATCCCCTCAGCTCCTAACGTCTCACTGTCTCTTTTTGTGATGTTCGTACTCGCTGGTTCTCAACGTCCCGATTCACTAACTCAGTGGGGATTGCAGAGCTGTGATAGTCTAATTCCGTCATCTCCTGGTAACGTGTCAGTTGTAACACTTCCACAAGGAGCTGCTCTCCCCCATCTACAGTCTGGTTCCCCGTTGGTACAGGAAAGGCCAAGTCACTGCTTGATCCCTTCCCTTCACCAGCTTTCCTCATCACCTTCTGGAGGAGATCCACGAGATTTAAAACACATTTTTGTGAACTCACGAATTTAAACACAGGTGGGTTTGAATGCCTGCAGTATCCTCCTCTCCGAAGCTCCGACGCTCATGTCCTCGGCCGGGGGAGGGTCTTCAAGCTGGCTTCTGAGTTCTTGTGGCATAACCCCAGGAGTCCTCCTTAATAGTCCCCTTGCCGTTTGGGAAAACGAAATATTCCAGCCTTGTCTTGTCCATTTCCTGTCCGTTTCCAGCCCTAAAAACAGCTATTTCTCCAAGAAACCCTGCTTTTCCATTTGTTTAAAATGGGAAATGATTTTCAGGACCACAACCTGGGTGTTAGGCCAAGGAGGTGACCTCTTGTTCTGAGCCTTTTCAGGGGGCAGGGCTAGAGAATATAGATGTATTTTAAAAAATGGAATACCAAGCAAGTGGATTGGTTATCGCACCTCATAAGCTGTTCCCTGATGGAGCTGTTTGACTGACATCTCTGTCCTGTCAAAGGCGTGAAGCCTACGACTCTTCTCTCACGTGCCTGGAAGGAGACAAGATTTCCATCACTGTTAGATTTCTCATTTAAACAAAGGGCTTGAGAGTCTGTGTCCTATTTAAGTTAACAACATGTAACTCATGTTTCCAGCCTTGGGGACAACCAAACCTGGGCAAGTGTCCTGTCAGTGTTTGCTCAGAACCCAGCCAGACCTCCCTCCTGTTCCCCCGACTCCCAGGTGTCCACGCCCCCCACGTTCCTTGAGTGTTCACGCCTCCTGTCTCCCCGCTGGACCCCAGGGGACGAGAAACTTCTTGAGGCTCCCAGAGGCCTTGCAGCCTTGGAGGCCCCCTGCTCCGGTCCTCTCCCTGGGACTCTGGGGAGCCCATCACCCCAGGCGACCGTGAGCTCCTCCCTGGCCATCTCTCGCCATCACTGCCTTGCAGCCTCCTCACCTCAGGGGGACTCCCCGCTCTTCCCGGCAGCTCCCACACCGAGGCCATCCTCTGACTCCCCTCTTTAATCCTTCACTCCCAGAAGCTCGAAGGGCAGCCCCCAGATCTCCTTCCCGCTGTCCCCCGGGAGGCCTGGCCCTAGCCCTGCCCCGAGAGTCAGGCTCCTGGAGACACGACTCGAGCTCACTCCCACGCGTCCTACGATGGCACATAGATTAGGCCACCTACTGGGCTCTGCCACCCGATTTGGTCAGACAGCCAGTCCTCCTGCAGCACTTGCTCTGCACCAGGGCCCACCTGAAGTGCTTCATGAACTTTAACTAGTTTCCATCTCACAGCCAGCCCAGAAGGCACGTGCTGTCATCTATCCGCTTTATGGATGAGGGGACTTTGGTTCAGGGCCACCTAAGAAGAGACAGGAAGAGCCAGGTCTCACCCACTGACCATTGGGCTCCAGAGTGGACACGTCTCACCGGAAGACAATACCACTTAAGACCAGGCCCTCAGCATCCTTCCGGGAAGGAGCCAGAAGCTGCCCAAGAATAAATCGAGTGAACGCAGGAATGGAATCGCCTCCTCGTGCAGTGTCTTTCTCTAGAGCAGCAGTCCTCGACCTCACGTGGCCTCAGAATCACCAGGAGGCAGTGTTCAAACACAGATGCCGGGCCTCACCCCACACTTTGTGACTCAGTAGGTCTGGGCAGGCCTGAGACTCTGCGTTTCTTTTTTTTTTTTTTTAAGGAAGATTAGCCCTGAGCTAACATCTGCCGCCAATGCTCCTCTTCTGGCTGAGGAAGACTGGCCCTGAGCCAACATCCATGCCCATCTTCCTCTACTTTATATGTGGAGCACCTACCACAGCATGGCTTGCCAAGTGGTGCCATGTCCGCATCCGGGATCTGAACTGGCGACACCCGGGCTGCCAAAGCAGAATGTGCGCACTTAACTGCTGCGCCACCAGGCCGGCCCCAGACTCTGCATTTCTAATGAGTTTCCTGGTGATGCTGCTGCTGCTGGTCCGGAGACCCCACTTTGGGAATCACTGCTCCAGTGAACTGCCCACCAGGGAAGAACAGGACACAGCTGGGACCGTCTGCTCCCTCCCAGGACCCACGGTGTGATGGTTCCAAGGCGAACTTCCCATCAAAGCAGTCCTGTAATGAAGCCCTTGTGGTTATGTTAAAAACAGTAAGGCCTCATCTGCTAGAGAGGCATTCTGAAGCAGTCACAGGTGACGTGTGTGACATCCGGGATTTACTTTAGAACACCCGAGGCTCTCTCCCCTGCAGAAAGTTGAGGGTTTAGATTACGCAATGGAAGCCGGCTGATGGGTCAAAGAGGCTGTTACACCACTTTCCACGGCTTGTTTATATTTGAAAGTGTTAATAATCAATCTTGCTGATTTCACGTAGGAGAAAGCTCTGGCTCCCACCCCTGATGACCACGGGACCTTGAGCAAGAAGCTTACGATGTCTGAGCCTCAGTCCTTGTGCTATCAAGGCAGACGATGGCATTGTTCCCATTGGGTTGTTGAGGAGACAGTGGATGTTTGACACGTAGCACTCACCTTGGCACATAACTCGCGAAATTATACTGACTCCAGTTTGCCCTGCTCTCATACGTTCTCTAGCCCGGGCCTGGACAGGGCAGCGTCTAATGGGCAGGGGACTCGCCCATCTCAAGGCACCTCTTCACCAAGTTCCTGGGTTGAGCGTGGAATTTACCAGAAGCCTGTCCATCTGGGGGCGGGAGGCGTGGGTGTGGAATACGGTATGGGCAGGCCATGTATGTGTTCCCCAGGATGTGAGGCCTCTGGGTGGTCAGGGGCAGGATGGCCGCCTAGGAGCCCCCATGGCTGCCCCACACTGTGACTTGGACCTGGCGAGTGTTTCTTTACACCGTAAATGCATCCGGGACAGGAATTCTCTGGTATCCAGTTCAAAAGTGGTTCCAGTGGATTCCATGGGGTCTTCAGCTCACCAAGCTGTCCCAATCAAGGCGTTTTTTTGGTTGGTGTTCTGTATTATTTTGTTCTGGCTTGGTTTCGATTGCAAATAACAGAAACTCATTTATGCTAGCCTAAGCCAAAGTCAGGGGCGGCTGGCGCCTGGGGACCACAGAACCTCAGGATAGGGAGGGTGGCCAAGCCTCAGATGAGATGGAAGCAAGTCCTGGAGAGCTGTCAAGGACCTCGTGGCTTGTCTCCCTCTCTGGCTCTTTCTCCCTCCTTCTCCTCCTCATATACAAGGCAGGAGGTGGCCTCCACACAGCTCAAGTCCCATCCCCTCCGTGAACCAGGCCTTGGGCAAAAAGCATCACCATCAGGATTTCACGTAATCCCACAGGAGCCATGGCGGAAAGTGCTGTGTTCACCATTCTGACTTCCAGGGAAGGAAAGTGAAGCACTGAGAGGTTCAAGAAGCTGCCTGAGGCCACACAGTTCAGCGAAGAAGCAGGGCAGGGATAGCAGCCGCATCTAACTCCTGAGCCAGGGTCCTCATCACCCGCCGTGTTACCTCCTGGCGTCAAAAAGACCCTATTCCCTGGGGGAAATCTGATTGGCCCAGCTTGAGTCAGGTGACCTGTTTCTGGACCAATCAGCTGCAGCCAAGGAGGTGGGTCTCAGAGTACCAACATGGCGACCCCCAGGCCCAGCTTTAGAGAGCTGGTTTTGGAAGGAGGGCGGGCGGGGATGATGTGAGCCCGGCACCTGGTCCTGGAAAGATCTCACTTCTGTCCCCCTCCTCCTTCCTGGGTATTCCATCCCTTGCTTCCCACAGGCTCACAAAACTCTGCTGCATTCATCTTCCCACTTACGGAGTTAGACGTGGCCCGAGTTCAAATCCTGTCTGTGCCATTTTCCTAATGGTCCTCCTCATCTGTAAATGGGGATGGTCATACTGGGATAATCTCAGGGATGTGGGGAGAATCAGATGAGAGAAGAACCCAGGGAAAGCCTTCAGTGGTTCCCTTTTGTTTTCAGGGTCAAGTTCAAACTTGTGATGTGAACTGGCTGGCACCTGCTTGACTTGCCACCCTGCATCCTCCCACTCCTTGAGCGCCTTCTTTCTCTAGCCGCTCAGCTGTTTGTAGTCTTTGAACTTCTCTGGTCCGTGCCTTTGCACATACGGTTCCCTCTACCTGAGATGCCTTTCCTCTTCTTCCCCAACCTGACTTAAACTAACTTGCTCTCTATAGTGGGTTGATCTGTGTCCCCCCAAAAGATATGTCCATGTCCCAACCACCACCCTCCCCACCAACCTTGGAAGCTGTGAATGTGACCTCTTTTGGAAATACAGTCTTTGCAGATCTATTTCAGTTAAGGATTTTGAGATGAGGTCATCCTGGATTTAGGGTGGGACCTAAGTCTGCTAAGTGTCCTCTTAAAAGAAAGGAGAGGGAAGTTTGGGACACGGAGTCACAGAGGGCAAGGCCATGGGAAGATGGCGGCCAAGATTGGAGTGATGCATCCACAAGCCAAGGATGTCATGGATCGCGGGCGGCCACCGGGGGCTGGAGGGAGGCCCGGAACAGATTCTCTCTTCGCCTCCAGAAAGAACGAACCCCGCTGGCGCCTTGATTTTGGACCTCTGGCCTCCAGAACTGAAAGAATCCATTTCTGTCATTTATGATAATTTGTATGGCAGCCACAGAAGACGAATGCTCAGGAACTCAGCTCAGACGTCCCCTCCTCTGGGAACCCTCCACGACTTCCCACCCCAACCAGATGCCCTGAGCCCAAGTACTTCCCACGGTGCCTTGAGCACCCACACCTGTGTGTCCCCCGCAAGACAACAGGTGTCTGTCTCTGACAGCTCCGACGACAGCAGCCTCTCCTAGAGGAATCCGAGTTGTAGCAGGCCTCTAGCATCAACAACAGGTGACAGTCTAATGGTGGCATTTCAGGCAGCGCCCGCAGGTGCCCGCAGGTGCCAGCAGGAAGAAGTCTGTTTTAGTCTGGGCGCCTCTCACCTTCTCCCTCTTGGGGCTACTCAGCTCCTCCCAGGTAGGAGCAGGAGGAGACTTGCCGCCCCCCCTCCCCAGGGGGGTATAAGATAAGGTTCGTCCTGCAGGAGCCTCACCTGGAAGGGCCCCACCTGCCTTTGCTTTCGACTGTCTTGCTGATGTCTGTATGAATGTTCTCGGGGCCGGGGGCAAGAGCGGGGGTTACTTAATCCTGGCAGCTCAGATGGAAAAAGGCCCCAGGAAAGACTGTGGCCATGTCATTCTGCCCAAGGAACAGAGGGATTGTTTACTTAAGTTCTGGAAAAGCCGCTTCAGTGGGTGAGGCCCCTGCCCTCAGCCAAGTGCCCTGGGCTCCGGTCGCTTTTCAGGGGCCATGGACGGCAGGCAGGGCTGGAGCAGCCCACAGACTCGCCCACATTTCCCAGCTTCCTGGTGCCGCTCCTTGGGGCTGTGCTCCGAGGCTCTGTTTGCTCCCAGGAGGGACGCAGCCCTCTCAGAGGCTGGGCCACTCCTTATGGGAGGCCTTGTGTGGCAAGAGAGAACACTCTAGACTGGGAATTTGGAGTGGTGAAGCTGGCCTCCCCGTTCCTGGGAGAATGGGAGATGGGGCTCTGATGTCCCGGT